CAACAAAACTCGTTTTCGCGAACTATGCACGTGCGTATGCGCTTCAAGTTAGTGTTACGTAGTTATAATTCGTAGTGTATACGATGTTGTGCGCTGTACATAAAAAACCTTCAAAGTTTTCACTTTACGATAATTCATAATCCATTCAGTATACCAATGCAATGAGTATTGAAAGGGGTACGATATATCAATCATTAATATTAATAACATTGAAAATAATTCAAATCTTTAAAAATTAGTCCTCCTCAAAGCTAGTAAGAAAACTGTATGTTTATTGTTTAACAATCATATAACAAAACAATACCTGAGATAACAATGTACAATGAATAATGCCCCCGTGAGTAAAATAAAAAAACGTAATGACCCATTACAATAAAAAAATGTTATTAATTATTGAAGTAGTTTGAAAACAACCAATTCTGTGTATTTGTCATCTGCATGTGTTTGTTATTTATTCTCTGAATGAAAAAGCATCAACAATTGTATTTCTTTTAGTTTTACATTTCCGATAAAATACGTTATTATACAATGATAGTTGTTCGTCATAAGTATTTAGTTATTGATAACAATATTTGAAAGACGTATTATTTGACGTAACGTCATTGTGACTGGAAGATGGTACACAAAGGGTATATGACTATAATTTCATTATTTTCCAAAAAAGATCTCTTTGAAATAATGTATGTTCGGTTTGAAACTTCAATAATATTCTTGGGAAATTTGCATGTGCTAACAATGTTAAATTTGTTTTATTTGGTATTATTGAATTCAGATTGAGTAGCCATATTGTTCAATACCAGTGTTATGTCCCATTTAGTGTTTGTGTTATCCAGTTCATATAACTGGACACGCGTGCGTAAACCCCGTAATTTCCGGGAAGTGCACATCCATCTCCAAAGTTAGTCACACCATAAACGGTCCACACGCCTCCGTCTTCTTTCATCAGTGGACCTCCACTGTCTCCATCGCACGTATCAACCCCACCGACTAAATATCCAGCGCATATAAAATCGTCGGTAATGTCTGCATGTCCAGCGTACATCCGAGAACAGTCTGCCTGGGCGGCTATTGGCAGAACGGCTTCGCGGAGCTTAAACGATCCAATGGGATGACCTTCATCAGTTTTTCCCCATCCTGCCACGTAGCACAAATCACCTTCTGAAGGGTCACGTCCGGATGTTGGTAAACAGGCAACGTTGACGTGACTGTTTACCGTGACCGTGTTTGAGAGCTCAACCAATGCTATATCGTAATAATTATTCATCGGTAGATATCCTGGGTAGACATACGTTGATTTCACCGCTACATCTTGTTCATGGCCCTCGTCAATATATAGATGGTGGTCGCCTAGTCGCACATGGTCAATACCCGCAATGCAATGCGCCGCTGTGAGCACCCAGTTTGGGCTGATAAGTGTGCCACCACAGTAGAAGATTCCATACGAGTCTATAAGCGCAACCTGAAATGATAGTAGATAGCTACTTTATTTACAAATTTGTGCATTCTTTGATATATAATAGTTATTGGAACCATCGTAGACAAAACGTGCTGTCAATGCTGTCAATGAAACGACGCGTTGAATGATACATGTTTAATGAAAATGAGAACAATTTTAATGCGCATGCACGTACCTATAATACAAAGTGTAGACAAAATTAAATGTTTTACCTATGTGTGTGTTGAAACGTAGCGTTAATAGAACATATATGACATATTAGGTAAATCAACATTTTAAGAAGAATTGCTCACCTGCCATGGCCAATTTCCAGGGCGTGTTTCGTTTCCACCAACAACAGCCATAGGTACTGCTCGAACTCCGCAATTGGGCACGAGGTCACGGTCTAAAAACAAAAAAAGCGATATACACCAGGTAACATGATTTTAATGATTACCTCTTCAATATTCACTCACTACTATATGATTAATTCGACTAAACCCGTGTTTTATTAAATGTTAATATACAAAACAAATCAAAACAATATCGGCGCTCTGTCGAATGGCGTTTATTTGCCCCTATTTATATGTTAGAAGCGGCTCGTGGATAGAGGGCGCCATTCACTGGAACGGTGTACGATTGTCTAAATACAATATGTGTAGTAGAAGAATAGATGACCATGCACATAGACTATTGGGGCATCGCACATACATATACGCGTACTAGGCCACGTGGTCATAGTATAGCTCACGTGTTTGACGATGCTAGAATATCAGTATTAACAACTCAACCAGCGTACCCGCCCCCAGAAACCGATGATTGATCGTACTTACGGGGGCACTGTAAAGTTTTACAGATACTCTCCTCATTTACGTTTCCTTGGCAACCAGTTAGTCTTAGTCTTGATCTTGACCTGTATGTTAGACACACTCTGGACCGTGATTTGATTCCGAATCCACACGTCTTGGAGCATGGTGACCATTCCGACCAAACTGACCAGTTTTTCAGAACTGCGAAATAGTGTTAAATTTAGCGTTTACTACAGTTTCGTGCCGTCACTCTAAGAGTTCTGAACGATTAGGTGATTGGTGAGAAAAAATACTTATATGTTGTTGTTTTTCTTTATGACTCTTGGCGGCGCGCATATAATTCATTTCATCAAATAACAATATTAACATTAATATGTGCATTGTTGGTATATCGTGTGATTGAATACTACTTAGGTCATAGGTAGGTAGGTTACTGGCATAGATCATGTAATTTTGAACTTACCCGGATGTCTTCCCGTTAATCTATTGAATTTTCTTTCTGCAGATATCTATCGAAAATTTAGATAATCGTTTAACAACAACAAATAATTAAACGTAACGAGATTGGTGTCAGTGGGGGTAACATACAAAGAACGATGAGATCACGGGATGGGCGTGTACGTCCATATCAACTCTTTGAACGAAAAACTCTTCTGTGTCTGTTTTTGTGTTTTGCATCAGCATTTTGATAGACAGTTATTAGCGTAAAACAAACCCATGCCATTATATAATTCTAAATTAACTGAATTTGAACT